TCCTCTTTGCCTGGAAGGAGCGGGGAGAAGAGAAGAAGACTTCAGAGGCTAGGACAACGGGGACGCGTTCATCTGAGGTATCGGAAACAAAAAACCCAATCCTGAGCATAACCGTTTCCTTTGCCTTAAAAAGAACCACACACCCAATATTTGGTACTCCCAAATAGGGATTTCCCCATCCAGCTTTTTTCACTTCCGATCTGGTTCCGGCCTTATCAGAGCATGTATTAAAGTTTTTTAACCTACTTACTTAGTTGTCAGACTCATGTTTAAAAGAGATTTACCAGCCAGCTGAATTAGTTGAGTTTGAATAATACAGAATTGATTAGACTTTCCCTCATTGACTGCCAGCCATTTTCAGAACAGAGAGTCCCATACTGCCAGTTTTTTTTAGCATTTTGACAGATTTTTCAAGAGCCACAGAATAGTTTGTGCTATGACTATGTAAACACGGAACACACCAAAAGAAAGAGTAGACTCTCTTCTTTCATGTTGAAAAACATAAAAGACGTCTATAGACGTCTTTGGCAGCCAATGAGTTAAAAAAAATAAAAAATGGATTGGGAGTCTGATTTTGCATTTTCTCCTGTTGGCCGATATGCATGTTTTTGCAAATATAAGCGGCCGATCTGATCTAAATATCGGATCGGGACGAGCCTTGCGCCACACAAAACGGGCGTCGCTCACCGATGCCGTAGGTCACTTTGATTGGCTCGGTCTTGCAGAGCATGGCCACGCCGCTGTAGCCCTCCTTCCCCTGCGACGCGGCCCAGTACTTGTGGGGGTACTCGGGCATGGAGGTGATGTCGGCGGGGAGGTCTTTGTCGGCGCACTTGGTCTCCTGAAGGCACAAAACGTCTGGGGCCTCCTCGCGGACCCACTGGGGGAAGGGAAAATCCCAAAAAAAAAAGAGGTTTAGCTTAGAGAAGCTTTCACACAAGTCTGTTAGGCAGCTTCCCGGTGGGTTTAGGTTGAAAACTCACGTCCAGGCCCTTCTTCTTGACCCAGGCCCTGAGCCCGTCCACGTTCCAGGAGGTGATCTTCGTGTTGGCGCTGCGGCCGTCCTGACTGGTCAGCTTGTCAGGAGGGTCCTCGTACAGCACGGGCGCCTCGGGCTCCTTGGCCTTCTTGGCTTTCTTAACAGAGGCTGACAGAAAGCGCGGTGAGACGCGGAAACCTGAAACGTGTTGCATGAGACGCTCGCCGGTGCCGTACCTGCCCCCGTCTCGTTCTCGCCCTCCTCCGCCGCCACCGCCTCCTCCTCCGTCTTCTTGCCTCTCTTCATCCTGGAACCGAACCGGACAGCACACACGCGGGGCGGACACGCGACACGCACACACAGCAGCACGCGCACAGCTGGAAGAGGTGAAAAAGGCCAACAGGTAAAAATGCTACAACAGCCGGACATGTAAATGTAAGTATAACACATTTAGAAAAAATCTGTGCTGTGGACACTGCAACCCCCTTTTTCTGGAACACTAAGAAGATCGTGGAAAACGATGACCATTTGTCAGAGTGGCCGACAGATGTGATGGTTGATCATTTTGAGACTCACAAAATCCCTCCGAACATTGACCTAAAAGATGCAGCCATTTAACATTGACCCAAATATCACATCTGCACATCTTATATATAAAAATAAAATATTAAGAAAGAGTAAACTAACACAGTTTGACAAACAAAATACTATTTTTGCAGCAAATACTGGGTTCCAAAAGAGATATCAACAGAAAACGTGGCATGTCTCAGCATGTTGTGCATGAATAAACTGGACAAGTGGACTAAAAAAGGACAGCCAACATCCCAAGAAGAGCTTCTGGATATCCTTCCAGAAGCCTGGAGAACTATTCCTGAAGACCCCTTCAAGAAAAAAGGTATTCACATCGAATATAGATTTTTTCCCTCCCATTGTTTACACGATAGAGATACTATTATTATTTATGTTCTCACGTGTTTAGCTTCCTCTGAATACCTAAAGCATAATAAGGGAGGGAGGGTACTGTTATTCATCTTTAAAAGGCAATCTCATTTACATATTTAAATTCGAACACCTATTTGAAGGACTAAGATGATACATTTTAGGTTGGTAAATAAAGGTTACAGTGACTGTCATCAGAAGCAAGCCTTAGCTAAAAAATGTGTTTTTAATCCGGAAACGTTCATCAATTTCCTCTTGCTAGATCGAATTAGTGTTGTGAAAACCTACATTACACACAAGGTCCATTAAATTAGAATTGAGACACTTCAGCATCGCCAGAATTATTTGTAAGAACCAGTAAATGTTCATGTTTCCAGCTACCTGCTGCACGTGGGATGCTGCACATTAGCCAAACAAAAAGGTTAAATGGGTTGTCGAGGCCTTAAAGATTCTGAAAAAGATGGAACCACATGATGAAGGCAATTCTCCGGGTGTGAATGTCTGCTTGAATGTGCATATCTGCAACTAATGGAGCAAAAGTTTACCACGTGCTCTCACAAAACACACACACGCGACGAAGAATTTAGCATTTGTCAATGTTAATCATGTTTAGCTAGTAGCAAGCTATGCTAACGCTAGCTTTGCTTGTATAACAAAGAGCAGCGAGGAAGAAGCAGGCCCCACTTAGCTTCCAATGAATGAATGGAGTCCACAGCAAACCCAATCAAGCATCGAGGGCGCTAATCAGATTCATCAACAAATGCAAATGCGTTTAAAGAAAACGGCCCCAAGCCAGACGCGTTGCAGGAAAAGGAGATGCAAATAATCTTACTTGCACTTTGACAACAGGATGCAAAGCCCAAACAAGTGCCGCCGTTTCCCAGTCACTCCCCCAAACACACTCACACACACTCTAAAGCACCGAGCGGAGCGCGCCGTGACCATGTGCTAGCCGTTTGCTGTCTTAGCATATGCCTGAAAAATAAAAAAAACAAGAGACCTGCGTTTATTTCACACGTAGAGAGACGAATACAGAATGCACATTTCTTCTTTTTCTAGCACCTAATTTATTACTACAGCAAATGTCTGTATCAAACTATGTTTTCTACAATTGCTTTGTTTTCAGGCATATTTTGAAACGACTGGTGTTCGGGTCCTTGGAGGTGCTCAATGCAGAAATAATTCGGCTACAAACTTTTTTATTGTGACTTCTAATTGGCACGAATTTAAAGGAAAGTGGACAACCAAAACAAGGTAAGCAGCACGCTAAGTTTACACTATTGTGGACGGAGGTGTTACATTTAAACGAAAAACAAGAAGGCTTTTGAGGATGAACCTGTTAGCCTGTGCGCTAACAGACTTTTGACATGTATTTAATGTTCGTCGTTATTACAGAAACATTACTTCTGCTCTACACTGCAGGACCATCTTATTTAATTTTAAAACTTTAATATTGCATTAAAATTGATAGTTTATTCTTATCTGAGCAGTGTTCTAAAATGAAAGACGCCCACCTGAATCCTCTTTTTCTAACCCAACCCATCATTTGGGTTTCAGTTCCTAAAATTCCCTAAAAAGGAGACATTTTAGACATTAATCTTTGTAAGTGTGAGAACATTGGGTTCCTATGGCATCATAACCTGCAGTTTAGTCACTTGCTTTTGAGAAAATTGATCATTTTTTACTTATAGATCATCAAGACTGATATTAAAGGTCTGATCCTGAGGATATAAAGAATTTTGTGAAGCATTTCCTTCCACTTACTGAAACGTGTAATGAGACTGGGTTTAATTGAACAGCTCTTATATTAAATGCAGGTTGTGTTTTTCGTGTCCAAAGCTTCTCAGCTACCATGACCGTGGTGATTGGTTTTGAAGGCAGTGCCAATAAAATTGGCATCGGCATCATCAGGGACGGAGAAGTGCTGTCCAACCCAAGACGGACCTTTATCACGCCTCCTGGACAAGGCAAGTCGCACTGGACATCACCCACACAGAAATCATGTTTATTCTTCATGTGAAGCTGACAGTTGTTTTTGTTTTTTTTTGTAACTAAATAAGGTTTTATGCCAAGTGAGACAGCCAGGCACCATCGGTCAGTTATTCTGACTGTCCTGAAAGAGGCTTTGGAACAGGCCGGACTCAAACCCACAGACATCGACTGTGTAGCATACACAAAAGGTAAAAAAAAAAAATGGTTGAAGGAAGAAAAACTGACAGAAGTTGTGTCGTTGAGAGGTCTGTGACCTGTCCCCCCTCTCCTGTCCCGTTAGGTCCCGGTATGGGCGCTCCTTTAGTGACGGTGGCCATAGTGGCCCGCACCGTGGCACAGCTCTGGGGGAAACCGCTCCTTGGAGTCAACCACTGTATCGGACACATCGAGATGGGCCGCCTCATCACCAAGGCAAACAACCCCACCGTGCTCTACGTCAGCGGGGGAAACACACAGGTCAGTCTCTGTGTGGAAATTTGGATTTTATTTGATTATTTTCTTCTTGTGGTTTGTTTCTAAACTCCTGTGCTGTGGTTCCTGGTGGTCAGCTGTTGGTCAAACGTTCAAATGTGGTTATGTGATGGTGCTTTTCACCCCGTCTTTGCAGGTCATCGCCTACTCAGAGCGACGGTACAGAATCTTTGGGGAGACCATCGACATTGCTGTCGGCAACTGTCTGGACAGGTTTGCCAGAGTCATTAAGGTGGGTTTTTTTTCTTAAAATCAGCCGTTTTCCCTTTTTGTCGTAAGCAGAAGATGCTTGTTAATGCTTGGTGTGAAATTGTGTCTCTCCAAAGATTTCTAATGACCCCAGTCCGGGTTATAATATAGAGCAGATGGCCAAAAAGTGAGTTTGGAAGTTTTTATTTTATTTATCTATTTTTTTCATTCGATAATTGACACTGTATGTGTTCTTAATGCATTTTAAAAAAATGTTGCTTAGCTTTGAATGTCTTTTCTGCCAGAGGGAGTCAATATGTGGAGCTGCCGTATACAGTCAAAGGAATGGATGTGTCGTTTTCTGGGATTCTGTCGTATATCGAGGTAAGTCGTTCTCTCATCTGTAGAATGCAGTTGTCTCCCAAAAGCCCAAACGGTCTTCATTAAGCACAAACTAGAGCACACAAACAAAAAAGTGTTC